TCAGTCAGAACTTTTATTGAAACAGTATTGGAAATAGTAATTTATCATGCAGAAATGGGAAATACCATGCACCCAAAAATATAAATAAGTAGAAGTAAAAAAAAAATTTACTAACTGGAGATCAAGAAACCCTTCTGCTTTCTATCTTCAATAATGGACTTTCAAGTTGTTGTACTATACCGAGAGAACTGTAATCACACAAATACAGCAAATGTACATATGAAATCATACTCCCTCCTAGTGTAAATTCCATTTTCACTTTGGATGTATTTCCTAAAGAAGCTACTTGAATATCTTGCTTTGAGACCAAAGCAAAAATCGCGCCTTTCTTTCTTCAATCTATTAGGAGGATGCACCTCAGAAATTTCATTCCACGCTCCTTTCATTACACTTTCCAGAAATGGATATGGAGTTAAGGATTTCTTCTTGTTGTGGGAAGGAAAGACCTTTGCAAATCCTCCCAGTCCTGTGAGACAAAGCTTGTAAACCTAAGGGCTTGACAACTTTACCCACAGTGTTTTCAAAATGCTCCACTGGAAAAAGTCTTTCTTGGTACTCATTATCTGATCTGCCCAAAGTTCACTTTTTTACTGGAAAAAAAAGTGAGACAGATGAAAGCACATTAGGTGTTTTTGATTTTTTTAAAGGTCTCAACAAGAGGCTTCTGATAACCCAGAGGAAAGAGAAATCTACCTTAAAGATGGGAAGAGAATGCACTTTGGAACGATTCTAAACCAAAATCTCCTGCTTAACACTTGACTGCAGCTGAAGATGTTCCAGATTACTCCAAAGAGAGTGACCCCTGTGATGCTGCAAGCACTGTGTCAGAAAATTTCAGAAATTTCAACTGAGTGTAAATAGAGAAGCAGACTACCTCATCACAGTAGGCATGACAAGAAGAAAGGGTTAAATGCCTAGTCAAGAAAAAACAGAGGCGGTTACTCCTTTAATTTAATGAAATCTAATACTTGTAGTGAGATTATGCAACATTAAGAATAAATGTTCTCTAAATGTTAGAACAATAACCGATACCTTTGTTCTGAAAGGCAGAGTAATAGTCTTGTCCAGATGCTACATCAAAGTTCTCGGATGGAACAAAACCACATCATCATTTATTTGTTCAAGACCGTATCATGATTTTCGCCTTTTATCTGATTTAAGGGATAACTTGAACAATACACTGGTAGTGTATTTATACTACCTTTTTTTTAAATTGTTCTTAGACATCACAAATATAATTTGAAATCAAGCTCAAGACTTGGCAATACTGATCACTGAGGAACACAAGCTAAGTTAGCTCTGGTAAAGTCAAAAAATAAAACCAGGAAGAACTGGATGGAGAACAGTGAAAAGAAGTTAGAGTGGAAAATACAATTCAGATAATTTTTCAATCTATGCAAAACAATTTGTGAAAATGAAGATTCTGAATATATTCCAGAAGATGCCAGATACAGAACTCTCAAACTGAGCTCAGAGAACTATCTGTATCACCTAAAAAAACCTCTCTACATCCATCTCCCTACAGAGTTCACTCTGGTTCACTGTTTCCTTCAGTGCTATTGTCTGCCATAGGGTTACCATCAGAGAACACTGGTAGGCAGTACTTCCCTCTAACATCTATTTTCAACCGCCTAAATTGGTCTTCATAGGATTCCATTGTGCACACTGCAAAGAAACTTGTCTTGTTGCCAGCTAGAACTCTGAACTACATGTCTTTCTTTTCTTCACTGTTCTTTTTTTGGTTCACAAGCAACCTCCTACCAAAAGCAGAATCTGCAGAAGAGACTACATCCAAGCGATAATGCAATGAAAAAGTATGAAGAGAAGCCCAGGTGGCCACCTTGCAAATTTCCAATGTGGAAGCCTTCGACCTCTCCGCCCAAGAAGCAGCTATAGTCCTAGTGTAATGAGCTTTACAAACCCTGGGAGCCTCTTTACCCTTAACTACATACGCCTCTCTAATACAATCCCTTAACCATCTAGCTAAGGAACTGTTAGAAGCCATTTGACCCCTCTTAAGACCCCCTAGGAGTACAAACAATCTGTCAGAAGATATGAAATCTTTGATTCTTCTGTGATAAACCCTAAGTGTTCTTCTTACATCCAATTTATGCAGCCATTGCTCTTTGTCATTGCTGGGTTTAGGGAAAAATGAGGGCCAAGAAACTGTCTGGTTTAGATACAACTTAGATGCCATCTTCGGGACAAAAAAATAAAATTAAAAAGAGGAACCATCCAAAGAACTACTTTGTTTCTGATGGAACTTTACACATGTTCAAAATATCAAGATTGAAGTACTATGGGATACATAGCCAAAAAAAAATCAACAAAAACTGCCATAGTAACAGCTATATACATAAACACAACACTTGACACAAGCACATGAAAACCCCACTATTTTTGTTGCATCTCTGCATGAGTTACATAAATAAAAAAGCTCCCATGAATACTGAAAACAACTAAAAAGAAAAGGAAGTAAGTAAAAGGTTCAAATCTATGTGTGCCTAGGGAAGCTTTAACTCAGTTGGATATTGGCCTACCTGTTATGAACTGGCCAGCTTCCCCTAATTTGCCAGCACTACTACTTGCAGAGGACTGGCACCTCAGATATCCCTCACTGCAGTGACTAAAGGGTAGACTGGATACACCCAACCTACCATTAACCCACTGAGAGTACAGGTAATTGTCCGGCAACAGCAACACATGGTTAAATCTGGGCTAACTTGCTCTGCTTCTTAGGCTGATTCTGCAGTCTGTGCTGCACTGCAAACCTGCAACTGGTATCCAAGTTAATGTAAAGCTGCTTTGGACATATTTTCACTCGAGATTCTGTTAAACAAGATTTCTAGTGACAAGGCTTCTGCATAAGTACAGAAGCTGGTCCTTGTATTTTCTAGTCACATAATGTGTTGTGATGAAAATAAAACAAGGATTCTAATCAATCTATCAAAACTCAGTCTTCCTCTGTGACAAAAATAAGATTATCAGCCCAATACAGGACATTAACAGAGGAAATCTTAAATCCTCTTTGGAACTTAACAGAAGCTGGAACGAGTGGGAACATCCTCCCACATCATGTCATCTTTCTCTTTAGCACTACAACTTATTTCTGACAATATGGAATGAAAGTAACACCAATAAACCCTTCTAGTCAGATCTTTTTTAAAAAAATAATTCTCTGGACATGTCCTTTTACACAAACTATCTGAAAACATAACCAAGCAAAGTTTTGTGAATAAAACCACCTGATGAGAACAACAACGCTAAAAACAGAGGTACGTGACTTCACTTAAAGAACCTGTAAAATATTTGCCTTCACTTGTTTTCCAGGTTAAAAGTAATTTTACGTTTTCTTTAGAGTGGACCTTCTACCCACAAGACTGTCTCCTGCAACAAGATCTAGTAATATTTCCTGTTCAGATTTGGTTAAGTAGAGGTACCAGTTAAGAATTGGCTTGCTACAGACATAATTACTCCAAAAGAAGCTTCCTCAAAAAAGAAGATTTAACACACTTTAGAGGAACAGTTCCGAATGTGATTAAGCTTGGAAACTTGGAAAAAAGTCTTGCAGGATAAAGTTCTAAACACGCTTCCTGGAAAGAAAAATACTTCTTGTTAATGTTGAAATCTTCTAAGTTCTCTGAATTACTGGAGGTCACATGTTTTAGAGTGTTGTTAATTACCGTCAAATAAATTTCCCATTCACGAGTTTTTCAATTTTTTTTTTAACACATTATCACAGAACACTTACAATTACCCTTACTGACTATATACCCTGTCCTATACATGAAGAGAACTCCACAATTTGAGAAGTTTACTCTGGCACATCTTAGTAGGATCAAGGCCATAAAACCTAAATCATAGTATATACTAGCTTAGTATTTCTTGAGAATTAGCAAAACTGAGAGATTAAAGAACGCAGAAATACATTGAAACCAATAGCAAAAGTGGAACCTGAATGCAAGTTTTATTAGCGTTTTGATGTATATTCTAAAATACATAGGTTAACCAGTATTTCTTTATTTCAGAGTGTCGGTATTACACATGAAGAATCCATTAACAAAATGTGTGCCTTGGAACTCTTCTTATTTAATATTTTTATTTTTACCAATTTAGTATTCTGAAACTACATTCCCAAAACACCTTTCTCCTCAGCCTGCAGCTTGACTACAGAGAGAGTGAATATTTGTCCCTCCCTGAGCAGCCTGGCCTCATTTCTGGTCTGATCCTTGCCTGCGATAGCATCAAAGCTCCTGAAACCACTTGGTCACTGGTGACTTAGTCTCTCTACTGGCAGAAGTAGCAGAGTAGAAGAGCATTTATGAGCATACTGTGACCTGGAAGGTGTTATTCACATGAATTTTCACAATACCAGGTTCTCCTGAATACAATTAGATGAGAAAGCAAGTGAGCCTGGAGTCTATAGCAAATGCAAACTTGAGGCTTGATCATTTTACTGATGTGGAGCCTCCTATAAAACACCCACTGAAACCAGCGGGATAAGCATGATAACAAACATAGTACATATTAATAAGTGTTTGTGAGAACTACAGGTTAAACCAGGGTTATATCCTTACACACTTAGCTGCATGTATACTAAGATCAATTAAACTGATGTTCAAGTTAGTGCTTTTCTCTCTTGAAAAAGGCAGCTGTCAAGGGCAAGCTCAGAAACAGCCACAGTTTCAAAGAACTCAGACTCCATGTATTGTTGCATTCTATATGAAGCATGGGATTTTACAGATAATTCAGTAAGAGATAATATGTCACAGTCTTTGATACTGTTTCATTATGATTCTACATCAATATTTACAGTCTGTACATCACAAGTCACTGTGCTCAAATGTAAACCTGCACATTTCAAAACCTTTTTCAGTGAATATGGTAGCACACTTATTTGCAAAATATGTTCACATAAATTAGATAATTAATGTTGGAAATTATATAACATTATCCTTTTGCAAAAAGAAAATTATTAAATGAGGAAAATCATTCATTACCTTGAACATTCTTATTCCTCTCCATAAATGAAGGCACCAGCAGAATTTCTGCAGATAGCTCTTCAATTTTTCCTTCCATTAATAGAAAGAGTTTGATAAGTTGAGAAAGACATTTGAGTTGATACAATGTCAAACAGAAGTTTCTTCCTTTTTTGTGGTATTCTTGGGAGCCTGTGCAAGTAAAATAATAAAATACATTTTACTATAGCTTAAAAAACTGATTATGTCAGACAGTATAATATATCAAGTAATTTAATTTTTATTATATCATAATGTAACTTTTTCTCATTAAAAAAAGCTGTTACATTCATTCTTCCCAAGTCTCCAGCATTTCTCAACTATATGGGAATTCCAGTTTTTGTTACTAATTAACTAGGCATTTTTTTCAAGCAATGGATCTACCGAAAATTTCTGACCTGTATTTTCCAGAAAACTGTGCTGCAAAAGCCAATTGAATGAAAGGAAAAAAACATGCCATGACTGTATTTTAATGGTTTGGGACATCACACCACTACACTGTCACTCTGCAAGTCACCTTGTCTGTTTAACAATCTCCTAGCACAATACAGTTGATGAATATGACATTTGAGTGAAAAGAAACATCAATCTAACACTCCACAACTTTAAATATGTAGGGTTTGAAAACAAGTGAAACTGTCAGTGAGCAAATATCAGCAAGTACTATACCTATAAGCATTTGATATTTAAAAGAAGAAACTGAACGTTTTGTTTTGAAAGGTTAACACTTGGAATCATAACATATAATCATGTCATATCAACAAGGGAACTCTGATTTGAGCACAGTCAGACTATAAATTACTGTGTGATGTTTCCAATTCAGTATTACCAAATCACAGTTTTAAGTATTTTAATCTTGTAACTTCTTTAAATGTAACAAATTTGCAGTTCTATGCAAATTGTGGTGAGCTGATACCATGTTCCTATGCAGTTCTGTCACAGATGTAACATCAGCAGAAGAGTTTATCTAGAAAGTGTCACAGTAATTTGAAAGGGAGGCTCTGAAAGATGAAAACAAATAGAAATTGATTAAAATGTACTTTTGTGTGTCAAATCTCTCTCACCTTTGCAAATCTGAAGTACTCTGTACCTTCCTTTTTCCTCAAAGTTCCTAGATATTTTTTAGGCATTCACCAATCACTTTTAAACAGACATAGATCTAAGTGGCAGAGATGAGACCCGAATACTAATTCCCTAATTTACCATTCTACTTTTTCAGCCTTAGAGATTGAACTGTGAGTTTTGCATCCACATCTGAATTCCCTTAAAGTTCCAAACAGATGTATTCATGCTAGTCCCTTGCATTTCTAAGAATGGCAAAAGACTTACGCATAATTGCTCTATTAGTGCCGTTCTTCTCTGAATAACAAGTAAATAATGTCTCTGTCACTGGATTTCTAATTTAAAGTCTTAAATTTACAAAAAAAAAAATTCTGTCATTCAGAGAATTTTTCTTTTACCTGAAGACTAGAGAATATAATCTGTGTTTAACTGACATGAAATGGCTGAGTCTGCAGTGCAAGAACCACAAACTTTATCATGAAAAGGAACAGAACATTAGTTCTCTCTCCTACAATTTGGAAACCTTGTGATGCTCCTGCATCCTCTTGAGGGCGGTAATCTCTGACTACTCACATGAGCCATCCACTGAAAGGCACTGCTCCATCTTGTTTTAGTCCTAGAGAAACCATGGGTCTTACTATGGAGTGCAGTCTCTACATATTCAGAAGCACATGCATGCCAGAAATGCAGACACGGACTAACTCGTATTGAAGACTGTTCTATTTCTTGTGGGCTTGGGTAACAAAAGCATGTTATTGGACAATCCAGCTTTTGTAAAAAGTTGGCTTGACCCTCACCTCAACTCTGCTTAGTTCATCTACAGCAGTTTGGAAGAACTGGACAGGGGGAGCCAACAGAAGTGAATTTCCTTTCACATATGGTCAGTTCCGTGTTGTTCTTCAGAAATGACAACTCATTTATATAGTGTTTGATGATCAAATAGCATGCACACACCCAAGTATCCAAAGCTTGGCTGAAAGGTCTTATATACATCCAAACTGCTAGGTTTAAAATACTGATGTCAGCATTTAACTTTGAAGACTACTGACCAGGCTGCTCGAACAAGAACATCACAGTCCACTTTTTAGCAGACGAGAATGAAAATGCACTTCTTTTCTGATTTTGTTCTGATTGGACAACCACAGGACAGAAACATTTAAGAACCATGCAACAGCCAAGAGCTAAGCAGCCAAAGCAATGACATAGAGAAAATCTGGAAATAGGCTTGCACACCTTGTAGAAGATTGCCATGAAGAGAACATGTCTCCATGTGGACAGATGCGAAATTCACATGAGGATTGACTGTGATACATGTTAAACAAAACCTTAGCTCCATCAACCTGTTTGGAGGACTCTATTCACAGAGTAGAGTATGGTAACTCTGGAAAAGTTACTGAATGGGTCATGACTTAGAATGTTAGGTCAGAGAACTGACATAACTCATTTACCTAGGTGACACTGCACAGCAAGAGAGGCATCCCTCTGTGATGATAATGGTCTGAAGTTGTTAGCACCCTGCCCAATTCAGAGGACCACACTCAGACTTACTGAAAGCACATGAAGCTGATCTCAGCCTTTCATGAATCAGTTAAGCAATGGCATTCCAGCCTAACTGCAGAATAGAAGGAAGCATGGAGAAAGTTATGTGATACAAACCAACATTCTTCCTGAATCACTTGAAGTTTACTACTTCCATTCTTCTAAATTTGATTTTTTCTTCACGTATGACTTTAATTGATATACTCCTTGTATGAGGAAATAGCTGCAACTGTACCTTTGCGTTCAGGCCAACACCAACAAGACCTCCATAGCGTCTCCTAAAAACAGGACATGCTAACCTCCTGTTAAAAGCATTACTTTGTGTAAAGAATTTCTCAAAAGGGACAAAAAAGACAGGTACAGAGGCTACAGAAAGGTAAAGCAGATAATACAGCCTTTGTCAATGTGCCAATGAGCTGATTTTGCAAATTTCGCTCTAAATAGATGCGAGATTAGAACCTGCGTTCTGTACTCCAACGATTTTACTCAGTTGTTGCCTGATTTAAAACAGAATATACTCTGTAATCCAAGCTATGACTCTTTTCCTACACTAGCTTGCTGAACCACTGAAACCCTGAAATTCTTGCAACAGTCACTCCACAATTTCTTGCTTTTCTCCCTCCTTCCTTAGACTTGAAAATTATTATGAAATTGGAGGAGTTATGCAGAAAAGATTATAAAAGACCATAGATAGAAAGA